ATTTGTATGTTTTAAATTATGATGTTGGCTCTATAAATAATGTCAATGTTTCTAACAAATGCAAGAGATTGTCTTCCACTAATGAGACTTATTTTTGGCACATTAGACTTGGTCATATTAACCTTAATGAAATCCAAAGACTGGTGAAAGATGTTCCTTTAAGTGAATTAAAGGTAAAATCTCTATCAGTATGCAAATCCTATTTGGAAGGCAAAAAGACCACGAGCCCTCTTACCTCAAAAGGGCTTAGGGCCAAAGAAGTCTTAGAATTAGCGTACGTTGATGTATGTGGACCAATTAGTGTTCAAGCTAAATATGAGTACTTCATCTAATTATAATTACTCAAGATATGTTTATGTATACTTGATGGCTTGCAAGTCTGCGCCTTTGAAAAGTTTTAAGGAATTCAAGACCGGAGTAGAAAAATAATTAAGTAAAAATATTAAAACGCTCCGATCAGATCAAGGTATAGAGTATCTATCCTATGATTTTAGAACATACTTGTTAGAAAATAGGATTCTATCCCAACTGAGTACACCGAGTACACTCTAGGAGAATGATACCTAAGAAATGAGAAATAAGACCTTGTTGAGCATGATCAGATCTATGCTAGGCTTTTCGATTCTCACAACATCATTTTGGTAATATGGTCTACAAACTGCAATATACTTATTAAATATGGTTCCATCTAAGTTTGTCCCTAAGATACCCCTAGAATTGTGGAATGAGCGTAAGCCTAATCTATGACATATTCATATATGGGGATGTCTGACACGCGTCCTGAAGGAAAATCCGAATAAAATGGAAGCAAGATCAACAGTATACATATTTGTAAGATATCCTAAAGGAACAAGAGGATATTATTTCTATAGTCCTTACAAGAAAAAGGTATTTGTGAATACAAATGCAACTTTATTAGAAGACAAGTATATAGAAGAATGTGAACCCAAGAGCAAGGTTCTTTTTAGAAAAATGAGAGGAAATATTCCAAACTCATCTAGTTGCAGAGATCCACACTGAACCTGCCTAAGAAGAATTCAAACATTCTTTATCGATAGTCTATGGATAGTGGTAGACAAATGGAGGCCTCACCTGCCATACTTATTGAATTGTCGGGATAAGAAGTGATAGAGGATGAAGTTCCAACCGTTTTATCACCACATGGACATGATACAAGAGAGTAAATGATAAAACAATTGCAAATTCCAATCAACCAAGAACTTCAAATGCTTCGATATAGTGGAAGAATCACTTGGTTACCATTTAGATACTCTACAAAAAGTCTTTCGATGTAGTTTATTCTAAGCAAGAAGATGATCCCACCTCGTTCAAAGAAGCTATGGAGAATATAGATGCTAACCATTGGAGAAGTTCCATGAATTCAAAATTGAAACCTATGTACACGAACTCAATCTGGGAGCTTCTAGATGAGCCAAATGGGATAAAATTCATATGATGCAAATGGGTCTACAAGATGAAAAGAGAAGTAGATGTAAAGGTGGAAACCTTTAAAGCTAGACTGGTTGCTAAGGGTTTTACCCAATGAGAAGGCATTGATGATGAAGAACCTTGTTACCTATGGCCATACTTAAGTCTATAAGAATCCTTTTATCCATTGTAGCTCATTTTGATTATGAGGTATGGAAAATGAATGTCAAGACTGCATTCCTTAACATGAGTCATAACGTAATCATATATATGATGCAACTAAAAGTTTCTATCCAAAAAGGTCAAGAGCATGAAGTATGAAACTAATGAGGTCTATTTATGGCCTAAAGCAAGCGTCTAGATCTTAGAGCATGAGGTTTTGATAAAACAATTAAGACTTGTAGTTTTGATTATAACTTTGATGAGTCTTGTGTCTATAATTACATCAAAGACAATAAGGTTATTTTTCTCTTATTGTACGTTGATGACATTTTGCTCATCGGGAATGATATTAGAGCATTAACATTGGTCAAAAACTAGTTGGCACAATAGTTTGAAATTAAGGACTTGGGATATCCCAATTATGTTCTAGATATCCAGATCCTTCGGGATAGAAGAATAGAAAGATCGCTCTTTCCCAAGATTCATATATCGACAACATACTGGTCAGATTTGCTATGCAAAATTCCAAGAAATGTCAAGTGGAATACATGAAATCGGTTCTTTATGCCTTAACAATAATAAGAAGTCTCATGTATGCTATGTTATGCATTTGACCCGAAATTTGTTATGCTGTTGGAATAGTTAATAAATATCAGTCAAATCGAAGACCTGAGCATTGGATGCTATTAAGCATATACTTAAGTATCTTTGTAGAACTAGAGATCATATGTTTGTTTATTCAGCTCCAACTTTAGTTCCACTGATTATACTAATTCCTATTTTTGAACAGATAAAGACTCTCGCAAGTCCACATCAGGATCAATATTCACATTTGGTGATAGTAACATTGTTTGTAGGAGCGTCACGCAATCTTGTATTGTTAACTCCACTTTGGATGCAAAGTGTATCGCAACTTGTAAAGCGGCCAAGGAAGCAATATGTCTAAGAAAGTTTTTACTAAACCTTAATGTCTTCAACAGCATCAGACATCCTACAATACTTTGTACTGTGATAGCAGTAAAGCGGTGGCAAATACAAAAGAAGCCAGAGCCATCAACATGAAAACACATTGAATGAAAATATCACCTTGTTAGGTAAATCGTTCGATAAGGAGATATGAAAGTGTGCAAGATAGTATCTATAGTCAGGCTTGTGGATCCCCTACGAAGAGCTTACCTGCTAAAAGCTTTGAGGGATATATCGATAATATGGGTTTACTTAACTTGTCTCATTTGCTCCACGGCTAGTAGGAGAATTTTTAGTTTAGTATTAGCCCTTTAAGTAAATTAATTTGTACTTGTGAAATTTCGAAATAAAAATATTAATTTATCTTTCAATAAATTATTTGTGTAAATTTGTGCTTGCATTTTTTTCATATTTCGACTTCATATTATAAATCTAGTGCTCAAGTTGTGAAGCACAGAAAGATTCTATTCATAATTTGATCTAAAATTTATTATCCATGATTGGTGAATAAAGACAACACACTTTATTTTGAAAAGATTGTCTCAATTTTATTAAAGTTAATCTTGACTTCGGTAATAAAATTGATTGTACATTTTGGGAATGTATTGGATTGGATCACGCGAAATTAATTTATGGAATTGACAGCATAAATTTAATTTCACTTGACTATTATATATACTACCTTAATCCCGAGCAGGTAATGATATTTGATTACTAATTTAAAATTCTTTGAGGTATCAATAAGAGAGATTAAATTGCTAATCAATATCTCGGTGCCTTGGAAATTAAAATGAAATAATTAACATTTATTCAAAATATGGAATTCGTAACCCATAGGCACAATCATGAACTCAATAGATTTTTCTAATGAGTAGTTAAATTTGATATTAGTAATTCAACATCGACTGTTGAATTAATATTGCGATGTGATCACATGAAACTATCAAATAGAAAAAGAGATTGATGACTAATGTGTATTTGGAAAAAGCATTCCGGTCATTTTATCTTATTTCGAATATTCCACAGGATCAACAGGAATTATATGTAAGAACAATATGTTAGAAGATATAATTATTGTTTATGTAGCTTTAGTATTTCAATTAAATTACAAGTGCGATCTCATTCTTTTAGTGGAATAGAACATGATTAATAAATTATCTCGAGCGATCAAGAGTTGAGCAGGTCAAGATTAATTTATTGAAGCTTAATTCTATTGGGTCCCTTGCGTGGCTTCAAACTAAGAACCAAAATAAATTATAAGAGTTATAATTTATTATTAACTGTAGATGGATAAATTAATTAAATATTCGTAACACGTGCCATTTGAGATATGGAAGATTTTGATTTGGATAAGAATTGAAAGTCGTTTTTTGTTTAGTGTCTTTATCCAAGCAAAAGAAAGAGTTCTTTTGAGATAGTGAAACTTTCTAGTCAAATCCATATTATAAATGACACTAACATTAGGATTTAATAAAACATTTATCATTATTGGAGTGCATGAAGTTGATTATTTGAAAGCTACATCAATTAAGTTGGCATCAATAGCACAAAAAGTGGAACAGATCAGTGTACTTCAAACAGTCGGACCGAAATGCAAGTATTGTGGAGAGAATCATGTGTTAGCTGATTTCTGGGTAGTCCTTTTGCTCGGTCCTTAGAAAATGTAAATTATGCTCAGAATTTTCAACGATAGCAATACTTTAGAATCTTAACACGTATTACTCAGGCTGGTGAAATCATCCAAGTTTCCAATGAAGCAACAATCAGCAAGCCCTATTGGCACCACCATAGACTAGATCACCATGATTTCAACAGATCGAATATAAGTCTTAATTAAAAGATCATGTTACTAAATTGACGGAGATCTCTACATAACACATACAAAAATCTAATAGGACTTTGCAAGTTTAGGGAGTTGCAAGTAAGAACTTAGAAAATCAGATGGAATAAATAACTAAAACACTCTCCGAAAGACAACCAGGAATACTACCAAGCAGTACTAAGATATATCACAAACATCAGGTAATGGCAATGAGAGTTTTGGAGAAGGAAAAGATTGAGACAATCACTATACAGTGAGAAATTAAACTTGAGCAAGCACATAGTCCTCATGGTTCGATACTCAATTTGTCATTATTTCACTTGACCACGATCACTTGCACTTGCGAATTTTTAAATGGTCATGACATTATTCCCAGTTTGATAGAAGTGTCAACAATTAATTTTAACCACATATCTCAAACTTATCAACCACACATTTTATCAATTTTGAACAAAATCTGCTAAAATTTTAATTTTTAATCCCCACCAAAAAGTGCTGGTGTCAATCATATTGGGACGACCAAGGAGACAATAAGTTCGAAAAAATAGATGTGAGCTTGTCTAAGGACTGCTTGAGCTGCCAAAATGATTATGTAAATTGTAATGATATGAACAGCCAAAACTGGAGTAAGAAACGATCAATTTATTGCATGCACAGTGCCAGAAATCTGTGTATGTTGGAAATCTTGTTCTGTAAAAGAATTCTTTTGCACTATACATGTCGAATCACAAATTCTCCAATTATGAAAGGTTAAGAATGGACCACGCTGTAAATTGGCTGTAAGAATTGAATATTACACCACCATTCCTTTGTTCACAAGTTCTTCTAACCCTTGTTTGAGTCTCTCTGAAGCAATACGACACTGATCTTCAATCAACCCACCAAAGGAAATCCTAAGATACCCGGGACAGCCACTGGAAGATCCAGGTATTAAGATGACCCCATGTTTCTGAGCTAGCCAGCGAACTACTTCAAAGTCATCAGTAAATTCATCTGGAAGCTTTGCCCACAAGTAAATTGCACCTTCTCCACCTTTAATAGCATCCTTACCCAGTGGAGATAAACCTTCTAGCACAATTTCTCGATTTTTGACTAGTTCATTTACATGATCAGTGACCCACTTGGGCCCCATTTCCAATGAGTGAAGTGCAAGTCGTTGTGAGATTATAGAAGCGCAAATAGGTATGTTGTCCTGGACTTTAAGGAGTTGAGCTGATAAACCTTCCACTTCTGAAGGGAATGCAATCTGCATTAGTGAAGATATTCAAAACACTGAAAGTCAATAGACAGAAATGCAATTTCCATTCGATACTAAGTTTCAAATACGAGCTGCGGCTTGAAAGAAAAGAAAATTGGCAAAAGAATCTTCTCTTCAAGGCCTGAGGAATATTTTAGGAGTGAAAATGAAAAAGAAACAAAAGATAGTAAAATGGGAAATTAGAATGCAAGCAGGAGAAGCAGAAGCACAAGGGACTTTTTGGCTGTACAAAACATTTGAAATTCTCGTTAAACATAAAAATATAATGCATCACTTACATATCCAACTCGCCATCCCATCATTCCATAAGCTTTAGAAAAAGAAAATACGTTGACAATGTGATTCCCCTCTAGACAGACATGCTTCAGACCATCATACATGAAGTACCTGCATTGTACTTATGTACTCAATTAACAATTATAAATTGCCTGATTTTATGACCACAATACTCCATTAAAATCTAGATAAACGGATTCATATTAGAAGTGCAATAATTTGGGGATAAAAACAATTCCATTTATTCAGTAAATTTAGAAACCGCGATGCTGAAATTGTGACAGGGAATTCTCCTAATTGGTGTGATTATGCATTGATATCAACAATGGTTGAGTTTGGACTCTTCCAAATGAAATAGAGGGGAGATTCTGTAGCATAAAGGAAGTAGTAGTGTTTCTAAATTAATGAATGCCAAGTACTTGAGTACAATGGCTGGAACACATTAGCGGCACTTTTTTAGCGCTGAAGCGCAAACCTTCAACAAAGCAGGAAAAATGCAGAAGGCTCAAAGAAGCGCCAAACAAAAACAAATTTTACTAAAACTTTGGGATTTTAAGTCCCACTCAATCTAAAATACCAATTTCCTTATAGATTGTAGTGTCCTATTTGTTGATTTGGGTGCTGAACTGGATTAGTGCATGTCTGGCAAAGCTTAAATTAAAATTTAAGCTGATCAAACATACTTTCATCCCCATATTTCATATTTTGTCGGACTCACAACTTATAACCACTTAAAAGCACTCGCAAGCATGTCCTTAGTTTATGAAATACATAAGAAAGGTCAAGCCGAATGCCGATTTCCTCAAATTATTTGTGAAACTAATTGAAATATCTGCTGAAACTCACTGTAAGCCTTAGCACCTAGATGCACTTTCCACATTTAGAACTGTGCCAAAATTATTAGACACCTACAAGAAATAACCTACTCATTTAATTGGTAACGAACAGTCCGCTGTTAGGCTGGTGACAAATTATCAAAAAAGTTTATATAGGAAAACTGTTTGACGACAAATCTAATTGCATATTCAATCTTATTAATATAATATGATTTTTGGCATCCATTTGCCTCAAAGTGAAATAGCTAACTGAAAACTCAGCATTACAGAAGAAAAGATGAATATACTCACTCGTATGTATTGTCTACCACAAGCCAACATCCAGCATCTCTGCAAAGATCTGATATTCTCTGCATAAAAGCGAATATAAGCGAAACATAAGAATACATACCAAACGTTGATAAAGACAGGGAACTATGTTTGCAAATGAACATTTTATAACAGCAAGTATAACTTCAGCACTGAGTTCTTTTGAACACACCCACAGTGAGAGAGAGAGAGAGAGAGAGAGAGACCTGGAGAAGAGGCGCAGGAATGTAGGTTCCAGAAGGGTTGCCAGGATTTACAACAGAAACAAGCTTTGGAGTTGGTTTTGTATCCTTTAAAATCCTCTCTAACCAGTCTGAACAAAAAGAAGATTACAATCATTATAAAAACAGTAATACGCCAAGTATATAGTTGAGCCTACAAGATGTTCATCAGTCATAATGCTTACTCGTAATGAAAACATCAGTCATGATGCTTACTCGTACTGAAAACCGTTGCTATGTAAAATTTGTTCTAACATGATAAAACATTTCAACATTGGCCACTTCGCTCCCTTAAAGCAACTAAATGTATTCAACAATGCAACTTATAGACATCGACTATAATGTTCAGAAAGAGAATCAAATCCATCAACATAAAAATAACACATAAGTACACTGAAATAAGGGGACTTCATGTACATAAACATACATATGTATATATATGTAATATATATTTATATATATATAAAATATATATATAAGATTCTGAAAATTCAAAACTTATTATCTTCAAGGAAAATGCAACCATATTCTGAATCTATCGCATTTTCAATATAGACGTCCTTCCACAATTGCGGTAGAAGTGATCAACATCCTGTTATCTTTTCAATCACAAACTATACTACTTCGTAAGCCATTCACATGGAGACTGGTGTAGAACTCTTTCCTTTCCAAGAAAAAACAGCATCATCCGCTTAAATTACAATTTCTCATTGTTAAGTTTGACGTATTGATCTGAATCCCAAATTCAGTGCTAAATGTTCTATGAAAGTCGGGAAATATAGATTAACATCATTTTTCAATTTCATAAGGAAGTCAGCTTACTACAATGATCAATATAGGACACATACAAGACTGGGAATTAAACAAGGACCACATAGATCATATGGACTAGAAAAGAAGGAAAAACAGATTTTTTAACACCCAATGGAAAATAACACATCAATATATAGCTAATTGGCAAACTTCAGAACTATAAAATTATTAACATCCAATTTGTCAAACAAGAAGGGGAAAATTGTCTTCACCAAATGTTAGAATATTATAAATTGTACATAATAAACTTGAGTTTCTATTACCCTATTTATAAGGCTATAAATAACTTCAAAAGGAAATATTGTATTATAATCATATAATCAACTATTAAGGAAAACAATCCTATACAATTGGAAAAATATCATAGAAATTATTCTTTACAATATTTTCATATGTTCAATAGTGACAATCAAATTGAGTTTGAAAATTAAATTGATCCAATCTAGTCTTCCCCTTCCAAGGATCAAATGATAATTCAAAGTTACTTGTATGTCAAACAAGCCAAACAAAGAACTCAAAGTTGGTAAGAATGAAAAACATCATCCACTAATCTAACCAAACCATCATCAAAACTTGAAGGAGAAGCCCACAAGTATAACGAACAAGGTCAAGATAGGGACCTTAAATGGTTTTAATAACCAGATAGGCAAAGATAGATCATGTTTAATAGTAGCACTCAGAAAATCCATGAATAGTATCAGTACTACACTTATAAATGAAGGAAATACTAATAGAAACAGAAACCTTGGCACACGAGGGTGCTAGAATGACAGATGTGATGGGAATAAATTTAATGAAAAATAAAATGATAATTCTTGATTTTCTCGAAAACCAACTCTCCAAGAAGAAAACAAGAAGAATAGCCAACATCTAACATGATTTGAATTAATCTGAAGTCCAAATTCAGATTGAATCAAGAACAAAAAAGACTTGGCTGAACAAAATATGGACAGAATAAAGAAAAAGAATCTAAGTGGATATTTAATCAAAACAACAAAACTTGACCAGATAAGTAGCATGAAGCTGCTCATCAGAGAACAAAAGCTTACAATTTTAATCCAAAATGAAGCTAAACCTGCTCTGATACCATATTAAAATATTACAAATTGTACATCATAAATTTGTGTTTCTATCACAGTGGAAGACCCCATTTATAAAGCTATAAATAATTTTAAAAGGAAAGATTGTGTGATAATCACACAATCAACTATTAATACCGTATAATTGGAAAAATATCATAGAAATTATTCTTTACAATCTTTTCATATCTTCAGCACCAGAGAGAAATATGAATGACCTACACAAAGATTGTGCAGCCACATCTCAGACTTATTTACGAGAAATGTTTAAAGAAGAGAGGTAGTGGCATAGAGTCACTATTGCATAAACTAGTGGTGCAGGGAAGCACAAAAGAAAATGTGAAATAAACGAAATTATCAAACCACCCCCTAAATCTTGTTGATGCACTCATGAATACCAACAAACAGACATAACAAACGTGTTTATTCTCACATGATACCGAGAACTTCAACGCTTTGATTCATATAGCAGACTGAGATTTGGACGTATAATTGAGAAGAATTAATTCTGAATTCCTCAAGTCCCCTTTTATTATACCCTAATGGTTATAATTGAACTAAAATCCTAATTCTAGAAGAAAGTATGTAATCCTATTGTAAAGGAAGAATCTAAAATTACATAAAAAATACTGCAACAAAAACAATAACAGATTGTACATTACCAGAACTTCCTATTCTACCCTGCCCCATATTTCACTTGATTAATTGAAATAACAAAACAATAATGGAAATAACATAACAGATTGCCAGTATAACCAAAATCTAATATGGCTTGAGCGTGTGACCCATCTGGGGGTCTTATCACATTCCCAACGTAGGAATATATTGTCTAATGGGCTCTATCCTTGGTTCTTGTCAAGAACATAAACGTTATATTGATCTCATGTTGCACTAAACACCTTCACCAAGAGTCAAGGACCAAATCGTCTAGTCCTCTTGATCCCAGACAATATTTGAATTATCCTCACTTGGAACAAGTCCAATAAACATATTTCTCTTTTCCTTCAAAATTGCAGAAGTTGAGACCATAACAGGTAATTGTGGCCATTGAGTTTAAACAAATTCGGAGAATTTTGGTGATCGTCAAGAGTGTTGTGGTTCATTAAGTTGGGAGCAATATTTGGAAAACGGGTGACTTGTTATCCATCACAAACATTGTGGTAGAGGAAAAATAACATTTTCTCACAAAGCAGGCTGAGATTCAAAGGACAGAGAAAAAAGAAAAGGAAAAACATGAAAGGAGATGCTCTGCCATCAGCAATGAAGGGCCACAAGAAATACAATTCCTAGGGATGAAGCTTGGCATGGATAGACCAAAAATGCAGAAGGTACCCATAGCTCCAATACCAAAAAACAGATTATAATTCTGCTTTTCCTATATGTTGAAATTCAGGATTAGATTATTTAATTATTCAAATATTGTTTCCCATGTACATAGGAATTGTTAGCCGTTAGTTAGGGGATTGAAGTAGTTAGTACTTTTTTTAAATTTCCTAAAACTTAGGAAACTGATTATTTTTAGTTGCCAGGAATTCCTTTATATATGGATGTAACCTTCCATTAAAATGTGAAGAATAAGAAAAATAATTCTCTATTATGAATTTCTTCATGGTATCAGAGCTTCAGATCTGAAAAGAATTTTATTTTTTATTTTTTATTTTTTATTTTTTTTTTAATTGAACCTGGATAGAATCATGGCCTCATCAGGACCAACAGAAACTCAACCTTCTGTTTCAATGGAAGTCATCTCTGGGTTATCAACTCTTCCAAGTACCTGTGGAACATTCGAAGACTCAGTTTCGTGGATCACAGTTCATAAGCTCAATGGACGCAATTTTCTGCAATTTTGCCAATCAGTAATGATATATATCAGTGATAAGAGGCAAGGATGACCATTTGACAGGGGGAAAAAAGAACTTCAGAAGGATAATCCTTCATAAAAATCGTGGAGGACCGAGAACAATATGGTCATGCCATGGCTGATAAACTCAATGGAAGTAGATGCTCGGCAAACCTTTCTGTTCTACAAAACAGAGAAGGATATTTGAGCTGCTGCCAAAGAAACTTTCTCCAACAGTGAAAATCCGACTGAAACATATAATCTTGAGAGTCAAATTCGAGATTTGTGCCGAGGCGACCTCAACGTCACCCAGTATTTTAGTATCCTCACTCGATACTATTAGCAGCTGGATATTTTTAGGGTCTTGAGTGGGACTGTCCAACTGATGCCCTTAGGTACTAGAAGATTATTGAGGAGCGGATCTTCACATTTCTTGCCATAGGGAGGATCCTCTCAACCAAACCACTTCCCTCCATCCGCGAAGCATGTTCTGAGGTTCGCAGGGAGGAAAATCGAAAGAAAGTGATGTTGAAAGATCTCTCTCCCCAAAGCCCAATCAATGAGGGATTGGCTCTTGCTGCAAGAGGACAATTCAATTAATCCTAGGATCAGTGCCATAAATCCAGTAGGCCTTGGTATGAACACTGCAGTAGAGTAGGACACACCATGGAAACTTGCTCGAAAATTCATGGCAAACCTTCCAACTGGAAGGGAGGAAAAAACAATGATAAAGATAACTACGGTTATCAAGCTGCTTTCGAGGAGTTTGTATCAAAATCTGGTTCTTCTCCATTTAGCCAAGAACAGATGGATCTCTTGAAAAAACTAATCAATAAGGAGCAACCGAGCAACATAGATATTAGTACCAGATCAATGGCACAAAAAGGTTTAACCTTTCAAGCTCTAAATGTTACAAAAGAACTTAATACATCATTAATTGTTGACTCTGGCACTTTTGATCATATGACTGGCAATTTTACTCTGTTTCAATCTTATCAACCTTATTTTGAAAATTAGCTGATCGATCTTTCTCACAAGTAGTTGGAAAAGGAGAGGTTATTTTACCTAATAATAAGGTGTTAACATTTGGGTTATATGTGCCAAGACTTAAATTGTGTCACTAAGTTTTTCCCTACATACTGTGAGTTTCAAGAATGGAATCAAGGAAGACGATTGGCTGTGCTTGGGCATATGATGGACTCTATATCATTGGAAATAAAGCGGCAAGTGGACAAGCTCAAAATGCTAGCAGCGATCTTGTGTCTGTTAGTAGTTCTAGTTATCATGAAATAACGAAATGGCACTTTAGGCTAGGCCATCCAAGCTTCTTATACTTAAAATCTTTGTTTCCTTCATTGTTCAAGAATAAAAGTTTAGAGTCTTTTCATTGTGAAATTTGCCAATTTGTGAGACAAAGTCGTGTTATTTACTCTCCGCAACCTTATAAAACCTCGGCCCCTTTCACCCTAATTCACAGTAATCTCTGTGGACCTTCTAGGATCTCCAATATCAATGGTGATAAATGGTTCATTACTCTAATAAATGACCACACAAGAATAAGTTGGGTTTACCTAATGAAAGACAAATTCGTAGCCAAAGAAATATTAAAAAACTTTCATCACATGATTAAAAATTAAGCACAAATCCAAATCCTACGGCTTGATAATGGCACAAAATATTTTAATTCTATCTTGGGGTCATACCTTTGGGAAAATGACATAAGTCACCAAAGTTCTAATTGTAATACACCACAACACAAAGGGGTAGCAGAACAAAAGAATAGGCATCTCTTAGAGGTTACTAGATTCTTATTATTCACCTCAAATGTACCAAAATTTTTCTGGGGAGAAGCTATACTTACTACTGCATATCTTATAAACAGATTAGTCCTTAAGTTTCAGCCTCCAATTACTATTTAAAAAATAAAAAAAATAAAAAAAAGTTAGATCCAAATCCCAAAATCATCAATTCAATTCCACCAAAGGTGTTTGAATGTAGTGCTTTTGACCATGTCAATCATCAAGGTCAAAGTCAACTTGAACCTCGTGCCATAAAGTGTATGTTTCTTGGGTATTCTCCATCACAAAAAAGGATATAGATGTTATTCACCCATAAAGAAAATTCTATATTTCTATGAATGTCAAGTTTTTTAAACATCAGCCCTATTATTTCAAAACTCATCTTGCGGGGGAGACCATAAGTCAGAGTCAAGCTCAGTTTTGGGAAAGTGTCCTTTCTAAGCCTGTTGAACCAGTCATTATCCTCTGTTTCTAGTGAAAGTGTGTCAATTGCTCCTGAAAAAGAACTCCATACTATTGCACCTGGAAAAGAGCTTCGTGTTTACTCCCCCCCCCCCCCCCCCCCACAACTAATGATATAGAGCCCAAAAGAGCACCTGATCACAGCCATGAGTCTGATCCGAATCCATCTCCTCTTGAAAATCCAACAAGTAACACTTTGATGGAACCAGCTACTGTCGAAGCTCTTAACGATGATGAGCCAATTGCACTACAGAAGGGTAAGCAAACTTGCACACATCCTATCTGCAAGTTTGTTTCTATAGAAAGGCTTTCGCCACAGTTCAAGGCTTTTTCAACTCAACTTGACAGCACCTCCATACCAACCAGTATTTATGAAGCTCTTAAACATCCAAGATGTAAAGCAGCTGTACAGGAAGAAATAAAGGCTCTAAGAAAGAATGGCACATGAAACTTGACTAAATTACCTCTTGGAAAATTCACAATAGGATGCAAGTGGATACTTAATGTGAGATTCTTGGCACTTGGCAGATGGCAGTATTGATAGGTTCAAAGCCCGATTAGTTGCTAAGGGCTTTAGTCAAACCTATGGAGTGGATTACCAAGAAACATTGCCCCAGTAGCAAAGCTTAATACCGTTAGAGTCCTTATTTCACTTGTTGTGAACAATGAGTGGCCTCTCCAGGAACTCAATATGAAGAACGCATTCTTGAATGGGGATCTCACGGAAGAAGTATACATGACAATTCCCCCAGGCTTTGAAAATCACAATAAAAATAAAATGTGCAGATTCCAGAAGTCACTCTACGAATTGAAACAATCTCCACATACCTGGTTTGAAAGGTTTAATGTGGTATGAAGAGGTTCGGGTATACTCAAGGACAATCTAATCACACTTTGTTCTTCAAGTTCTCACCCGACGGTAAACTAACAATCTAGTAAATGTTAATGACATAGTTCTTACGGAAATAATCTGGTGGAGATGAGGAATTTGAAGACTTCTCTATCAAAGGAATTTGAGATTAAGGACATGGGGAATCTCAAATATTTCTTGAGAATGTAGATAGCAAGAACCAAGGATGGAGTTTCAATGTCCCAACGAAAGTATGTGTTAGATCTACAAGAAACGGGAATTGTTGGGTGTAAGCCAACTACTACACCAATGGAACCAAATGTGAAACTTGGTAATTCAAAAGATAGTTCACTTGGTAATTCAAAAGATAGTCCACCAATTGATAAGGAGCAGTTCAAAGGTTAGTAGATAAGCTTATCTACCTTTCCTTACGGAGGAACATCTTTAAATGTTTACCAAATATTGAGATATCTAAAATTGGCTCCTAAAAAAGGTCTATCCTTTGGGAATCACTCTAACAAGAGTATTGAGGTATACACGAATGCTGACTAGGTAGGTTTATAGACAATCAACTTTTGGGTATTGTACCTATGTATGGGGTAATTTGGTGACATGGAAAAGCAAGAAACAATCCATTGTGGCACAGAGCAATGCTGAGGCCGAATATTGATCAGTAGCTTTGGGTGTTTTTGAGGTTCTATAGCTTAAAAGAATTCTAGAGGAATTAAGAATGACATGCGAACCTAATATCATGATGATTAAACAGCTCTTAGCATAGCACACAATTCGATGTACCATAACTGAACCAAGCGGGTGGAGATTAACCGGCACTTCATCAAGGAGAAAATTGATCAAGGTGTGATCAAGATGATATATGTTCTTACAAGACTGCAGATTGCTGACTTGCTAACTAAGACCTTATCAAGACAGTTATTTGATGACTTTTCAAGCAAACTAGGAATGATAAATATCTATTCCTCGGTTTGAGGGGGAGTGTTGAAAGTTAGGACTAGATTATTTAATTATTCGAATATTGTTTCCCATGTAAATAGGTATTGTTAGCTGTTAGTTAGGGGATTGAATTAGTTAGGATACACTTTTTTCAAATTACCTAAAACTCAAGGAAACTGATTATTTTTAGTAGCCAGGAATTCCCTTATATGCGGGTGTAACCTTCCATTCAAAGGTGAAGAATAACAAAAATAATTCTCCTCTGAATTTCTTCACTATATCGACGCAGAATACAATTTGCACAAACTTTAAATGACTACCATAGAGATTAAAATAAGAGAGTTATAATTAGCAATTACTAATTTGTTCTATAAATTACAGATACGTCCTACCAAGCATCAATTTTTAAAAAGCAAAAAAGGTAGAAAATAACAACTATAAGAGATCCTAAGAATCCAACAAAATTATCAACGAATAGCATGTCATATCAAAGCAGAGTTCTGAGTATTTCAAATTTCAATGCATCCTTTTCAAATTTTTGGAACAGATCAGAAAACATGGCTTCAATTATTAAGGGGGAAAAAAGCAACCAGATTCCGTTATTATGAACAATTTCCCAATCTGACTAGTTGTGAAAAATAGATAGTTCCTGGTACAAAGTGACATAAAGCATGCAGGCTCATAAAACAGGGGGGTCAATAGGAATTTAGAATGGATTATATTTTGATTATTAACCTGCATCCGGATGAAGTGTCTCTGGATCACTAGGGCCGACCAGAATGTCAGTGACTCCTGTCATCTGGAATGACATGTATGAATTGAAGTAGTACGGAGCAAACATGACGACAGAATCTCCAGCATCACACAGTGTAAGAACAATATTAACAAAAGCCTGCAATCATTTGGGACAAAATAATTCTATTCTTGTTACATATCAAAATCTATAAAATTGCAATATAAATCAACTAATTGGCTCCCCAGTGAAATCCCACTCGCCATTTTAACACCCTAAGCAATTATTATATCAAAATTCAAACGTAAATCAATTTATAAGTTCAAAATATTTAGAACTCTGATATATCAATAGGAAATTGGGAAAGTTGAGTAGGGAAAGCATAGAAAGTAAGGACAAAATGTAAGAATTAAAAAGAATTATCACAGTGGTTCAGGAACTGTTTTCATGATAACTGTTCAACTTCATTAAAAGGCCTCAGCTATAAAGGTGTAAAAAAAGATAGGAGATTAAAAATTGAAGGGATAATTTTTCATACAAAAAGAGATTAATAGTGAAGAAGAGATATAAACAAAGTGAGAGGCAGGCCCATCACTATCTACTCTTATTTGTTACCAGACAATTAACCAATTAAAAAAGGATTCCAACTAAAAAAAAGAAGGAAAAAAAAAAAATCTTCTTCTACAACCATGATAAGGAAATTTCTAGATCTCGCACATCTACTTAAATTGTAGGGCTTTCTCAATAGAGTCCAAAAACGGAGCATACCATAGGCACCATATGCGGAGAGAATTAGCCTTTTTTAGTTTAACATATGTGGCACATGTGATTAGTAACCTCGGCAAACAAAGAGAAGTCTAGAAACTATCCATGCATGGACGAGGACGAGTAGTCCAACTGATTTCTAAAAAATCTAAAGCCCTCCTATATATTGATGACCAACAGCCCAACTTCATACCTGATTTGCACCAGCAGTCACCATCACTGAGGATCTGTGTAAATTATTTTCTTGCTGTAACTGCAACAAGAAATTGAAATGATTGATTTAGAAGTGGGGAAAATTGGCTAGACGTGGTTTTATACAGATTTTAATTCTACTCAAAGGTCCTAACTTATATCAAAAACCAGAAAATTGAACCAGTAAACTCTTTTCAATGATTATCTTTTGGACATAATCCATCACAAGTCTGTTTACTCCTCCATCAGGTGATAATAACATTAATCACTTAGCAGAGTCACAATCTGTGTTATAGCCACATAATGAACTTTAGCTAAACAAATAAAATCGTAGTTTCACCTTTTTTAGTAATGCTTCTCTGAGCTCAGGAACACCTTCATCAGCACCATAACGACTGATCACAGGCTCCCATACAAGTTTTTGCACCTTCTCTAGAGCCTGCTTGGGTGGTTGCCAGTACACTACCCCCTGTGAAGCAGCATGATAAAGTATTGTAATTGCAAAAAATAGCCAAAGTAGACATGTAAACAAATCTCTAGTAATGTGAGTTAAGGGATGCACGAAAGGAAAAGTAAAATATGAACTCCCAAAATTATTTTGTTCAGTTCTTTGCAGGAAGAAAAATAAGATAAGTCGCTTTCATAATCACAATACAAATTTGAAAAAGTAACATATTTTAAACTCTGACAGCAAAAACAATTTCACTTCCAATACTAGCTGAAGTGCTTAACTGTAGTCACTCAGTGCAACTTATAGCATGTTTTATACAGATTTTTTGACAATAGATTTTGTTAAAAGTGAATTTTTTTTATTATTATTTTTTTTCCTAATAAAGAATGTGATGGCAAAAAGTCGTTAAAAATTATGGGTCCATTTGTAAAATTATTTTACTGGGAGAATGAGAAATTAAAAATGAGCTTGAAAAAAATTAGTTGTAAAGAATGTGTACCACACAAGGGCTTTGTTAAGCCAAGAAATTATCAGTAATCTATAAAATAATTGTATCCGGACAGCAACCAAATTAGAGGTTTGATCTTTTAAAGTACACCCTTGTTGCAAAATAAAACCAATTTAACCGAATCACAGAGATAATCAGTTATGACAGCGAGGAACATATGAAATTCATTATTAAGTGCAAAAGTTTACTGGATCCATCATCTAATTCATTCTAAAGTGCAAAAGTTCAAAAAGCACTTTTACCAGAAAAATGTTTAGCAATTAAGAAGATCACAAAAATTTACTTTTTCCAAAAATTTGTTCAAACCCAAAAGAAGGACAATAAGAAAAGCGTTCACACTTCTCAATTTCTCGAACTCCATAATAAGAACATGACCAATAACATGCATACTTCAGAAATTTTAAGACAAAAAATTAACAATTTACATTGGGAAATGTAAACAAACCTGAGCCAGAGAAACGCTATCTTTCACACCTCGGATCAGCTCTTGTATCTGCAAATTTCAAGAAAAAATGCACAGATTTCACCACTATTAAATATAATTCCTTTCACTAAATAAATAGATTAGTAAAATTAGACCAAAAGCAAATAAAATTAACAAGAAAAGGGAACCCATTTCAAGAAATGATGGAAAATTAACTACCTGAACCATAACAGGGGTATCAGTAAGCAAAGCCCTTTTTGCAAGCTTTCCATCAGAACCCATTTTCCTCCTAACTCCTCGGGCGTTTTTAGTCGGGTGTCCGCAAATTTCTTGTTCAACGTTTTATATAGTTGAACAAGCTAAACAATTCTGTCTTTTTCTCACCTACCCTCCAAAAATTTAGGCTTCTCCCCTAGAAGCTCATAAAGCTCAACTTTAATTATGAATTTAGATATATGTTGCTGAAAAAGGTGATAATAAAAAATAATAAACCCAATCAGCTTGCGAGAACAATGACAAAAGCCAAAAAGATCAAGCACTTTTTCAAATTTTCCACCTTTAAAAAAAATTAAAAAAAATGAACCCATAAATACAAGAGAAGTTTTGTAAGGTAAACTATTACAGAGAATAGTTTTCCCATATTCTTAAAAAAAGGCAAAAAGATTCTCCCATGATTTATGGTAATTGATTGATATTCTATAACTGGCAGGTCAGAGTTGACTGGAGGAAAAATATATATATATATAGTTAAGGTTCTTCGACAAAATTTTGCATAAAATTTTGATAAAAATTAATAAAATATTTAATTAAAAAGTTGATAAAAATTATTGTTATAAAATATACAAATAAAATTAGTTATTAATTTTAACCTTTAACTTTTTAAAAAGCTTTTTGAAGTTAATTTTTGAAAGAGAGCAATAAAGCTAGAGACAAGAATTTGTTTGGGCCTATAAAGACCTACCACTACCAGAGAATTTTGGCTGGCTGATCAGTTAGCCAATTAGTTTTCTCAAATTGAAAAGCACTGAAACAAAGATCTTTAGAGTGATATGGTTTTGTCCAAAAATAACTTTATTCTTTTTCTTTGACAATTTCCCCAGATCAAGCAAATGTTGCGAAAAACATTCATGTCGTCCATTTTCATTATCAAACTCTTGTAAAAGTACTTTACAAGACGAATTTATATTTATCTTGAAATAAACAAACAAAAAATAAAGAAAATACCAAAAGTAATATATTAAGGTTTTGTTTAGTACACATTAGTGTAAAATGAAAATGAAAAATATAATCGTAATACCCTACACAAGAGATAGAAAGTAAATATGGTGACTTGATGTGATGTATAATGATTATATTTTTCATTTTAATGGACAAATAATAGGAAACAAACGGGGGCTAAATATCACATTAAGCTAGAATTATTTTTTGGACGATTTTAATAATATATTACTTTTGATTTTTCAATATATAATAAATATTACAAAATTCTTGTCGTGTATGAATTTCGTGTTATTAATTCTCAATTAATTCAATGACTTTTAATTTGATGAATCTTTATCTACATGAATCTATAGTTATTATAGATGAATTTATTTTCATTCATGTATTTAGGAATTTTAATAGATATTTAAATTCTACATGAATATACAGTTATTATAAATGAATTTATTTCCATTCATGAATTTAGGAATTTTAATGGGTATTTAAATTCATGTATTAACAATTAATTCTTATGTATAAAAGGTGGGTTATTTGTAGTATTTCATCATCACAAAAAAATTCGAATCATAGAAGTTGAGTTTTGATATTACAATTTTCTTCTCTTAAATTATCCTAAATTTTATTTTCTTTAATTCGTTTGAAACTCGTCAAATTTTTTCAACAAATTAACATCAAATATTATTTTTACAGCATTCATAAAGTACTTCAAAATGCACGTTCGACTCTGATTAGTAATCTAAGAAGTTTCAAAAAGTAAAAGTCCCAAATAAAACAATTACAAAAATAAAATATATTTCTTCTCCAACCAACTCTACACACTCTCCATCCAACTCACGACCACCACCACCACTATACTTCCACTACCAAACGTTAAAGATTAACCACCGACACTCAAATAGTTATTCATATGGAATCTCTCAACGAGTTTCCAATGTTTTGTTTTATAACAAAGTATCACAAATAAGAAATGCCACAAGTGATAGTCTATCCGTAATAACGATATCTGTATCTCGTTATTTCTTACAACCACAGAGAATTTAAGATTCAATCATATATAATTTGCATATCACAACCACAACTCCTTGTGATTAACAAATTACTAAGATTTGAATTTACAAACTCTATTATTTAATTTAATTGAATATTAATTAAATAATAAAATTGCCATAAAATTGCATCAACTATATATTTCAATGCCTTATATCCAAAGTTGATTGAACCTAGGGTATAACACATACAAATTTCCACTTACACTAGATCCAATCACTTATCTATCTAATATCATAAGAGTCTACATGACGATCATGGTTATACTGCGACAACTCTTTGTTAGTAGATCTACAATATTATTAATTGTGGAAATTCATTCATTTCTTTACGTCATTTCTTTATATTATCTCTCTGATGAGACGACATTACCTTAATATATGTTTGGATCATTGATAAGACTTTGGTTCCTTCGCTTGCGTGATAGCTCTGTTGTTATCATAATATAATGGCATGTGATCAACAATAGTAGAAACTGTTCCACGTTCATTAATGAACATCTTAATCCGCACTGCAGCTCTTTGCTGCTTCTGAAGCAATCATGTATTAGAATTCTGCTGTCGAATCAACGGTTGTTTCATGTTTGAAATATTTCTAACATACCGATTAAGAGTAAACCAATTTCTCCATCTAAAATCTTCACAAGATTTTATTCTATGTAGATCGGGATGAGTTAAGCAATTGTTTAGATGATCTTTATAGATCAAGTTGCTTATCCCATATCTTTTATGAAAAAATCTTTTAACAACCACAACTTCAATTATTGAAATGTAGGGATGTTATTTCCTATTAATAATATGTCTTCTACATGTAATCTTAGGAATGCGATAATACTTCCATCATTTTCTTGTAAACACAGAATTCGTCTTCATTTTTTTATAAAATTAAACCTTTTGATTTTTTTCATCAAATCAAAGATTTCAACTCCAAGAAGCTTAGTTCAATCCATAAAAGAATTGATCAAATTTACATACTTTATAAGCATATTTGGAATTAAAACTTTTGAGTCGTTTCATGTACATTTTCTCTTTCTAGTTCCTATTAACGAATATAATTTTGACATCCTTTTGTCATATCTCATAGTCATGGCATGCAACAATTGCAAGCAAAATTTGAACAAACTTAAGCATTGCTATATGTGAAAAAGTTTCATCAAAATCAATACTTTATCTTTATTTGTAACCTTTTATTACTAGCATTGCCTTGTATGCATAGACATTCTCATCCATGTCAGCCTTTTATTTTAAACCATTTGCAATCTATAAGTCTTATTCCATCACGGGAGTTGACCAAGGTCTAAACTTTGTTCGTATACATCGAGTTTATCGCAAGTTCTATGGCTTCTTGCTATCTCTTTAAGTCAACACTTTATTTTTGTACAATTAGTAGGTACATCATTCTCGATTAGCCATGCCTGATTAGTAATCATCGATTCGCACTGATGTGATTCGAGATGCGCCACAAACTACTGGAGAATTAATAATTGTTGGCGAGAGGCTAAAGAAAAATTTGGGCTTAGTTAAGGACATTAGAGTTGCCAAGATGTTTGTTCAAAGTTTGGAATTCAAAATGTGGGAATTAACGTGCAATGTAACAAGTTCCATGATTGGCGGGAAGAGACTAAGTGCAAAGTCGGGTTTGATCACAGCCAATAAAATTATGCAATCAAGAATCGAGCTTACCAGGCTATAAAGGATGATGTTTGCAAGCTTAAGGTCGAGTTACATGTTAGTCATAAAGGCGAAATCATGTTCGGTACATTGGATTCAAGGTTTTAGACGATATATGGCAAAACGAGCAGTGTGGATTAAAATGGGCATAACTTTTAGTTCGGGTGTCGAATTTTCGCCCATGAGTATAATTTAAAATTGTCACAAAAATTCTACACAAGAAGGAGGAGGTTTTTTTTGAAATCATGCGAGCGCATATCTTAAAAGCCATGCGACTGCATACGCTATTTCCGAGACAATTGAGGCTAACTATTTGTTCTATGCGACTGCATTGATTTATACTATGCAATCACATAGTACAACTTCTGGATGCGATTTTTCAAAATTTGGGAGGTGTTTTATTTATAGTATAATTCTATTTATTTGACATCTTTGTAATCTTTTAGAGTATATTTCGTCCTTAATTAATTTTTCTAGATTTTTCATATAAATAGGAGTTATTATTTCAATTGTAATAAGACTTTTCATATGAATAAAAATTGAGGTTTTTCTCTCGAAGCTTTGCTTCAATTTTCCTTGTTCTTCAATAGAAAAAATTATCGAACTTATCAAGGGATTAATTTCCTTGTAGCATTGAAAACCAATGGTACGAATTACAACACGTATAATCAAGGGGTTTTACAATCTTTGTTATTGTACGATTTTTTAGTTCATTGTTTTGGAATTCAAATCAACCATCCGGGTGAGATTTTAAGGCTTTGTGATCAACAGGCTGTGAGTTTCATATACCTTTGGTTGTTTGATTCATCGTTTAAAAGTTAAATCCTAAACTTTGATCGTATTTGGGCGCTCTTGGGATCTAGTGTTAATATCCTATGGGTTCGATAGCAACTTTGCTAACTGAGTTCGCATCATTTGGTATCAGAGCCACATCTCCAATATCAAGGTTATTTACATTTTTTTTAATTTTATTGAGTCTTTTGTTTTTCTTTTTGTGTTCTTGTAATTTTTCAATTTTGTTTGAGACGTTGATTCGTTTAAATCCCGTTAAATTTTCAAAAGTTGTCTTTGGACTAATTTAGTATCCAAAACAGCTTCTGTTTGTTTTGTCGGCTTTGTAATCGAATTTCCTATCTAGTGAGTCAAAAAAAAAGTTGAAAGAAAAAGTCAGAACACATTTAAAATTGAAAATAAAATAAAATTGAAAGTACATTTAAAATTAGCACATTTCCATTTTCCAGTTTTTACACAATCTTACCATTTCCATTAATTTTGAAAGAAAAGTCATTTTCCATGATTACTTGTCCCCTATTTGTTTGATAGAAATCAGTGACGTATTCCTTATAGGGTGATATGTGGAAAGTACACTCAGAATCAAGAATCGGGATTTACAAGTCACATAGACCTGTCCATTTGAGGCTGCAACTTCTTCATAAATTATAGCAGCTCCACCTTCAACCTTATTGTTATTTTTCAATTCCTCAATTCTTTTTATACGGTCTTTGATATAGTGACCCACTTTACTACAAAAGTAGCATTTCCAAAATTTGGCCTTGCTGTTATACTTATTGAATTTTTATTTGCCCTTTTGAAAAGTTCCAGAAAAATCTTTTGGTTTTCCAGAATTTTTTATTCGTGATTTGATTGTGATTCTTGTTGAAAGAAAATTTACCTCTTACAATGTACTCTACTCCAGTTATGAAGGTTTTAGATTCACTCTTGAACTCTAGTTCCTTATATGCCTTAAAGAAGTAGTAATGACATCAACAGTTACAGATGTTCTACATATTCAAAGGCATGTTTTATTTCTTTATATTTATTAGGCAAAGATGACAGTAAGACCACCGATTTTCGATCATCTTATAGAGTCTCACCATTATTGGTAATATCTTGAGATAGTTTATTAAATCTATGAAGATTCATCTCAAGATCACTATTTGGAGAATTGTTTCCACAAGTAACATTTATTGGGAAGGGAATTAGTTTTTTAACTCAAATAATCTTGTACAGAATTCAATCTTTAGAATTACAGAAAATTATGAAATTCAGACACACATCTCATGAACAACAAATAATCTTGCTCCATTACTATCTAAAGATCCACAATTGCAGCAGCAAATATCAAGGCAGCACTCACAAGCCTCATAGCAGCAGAAACAGCAAAACAGTGTGAATAAACTGCATCAAAATATGTAAAATGTTGATTTTTAAAACGAAAAATACAATGAATTGATAAATTTTTATGCTTTTTCTACAGCAGTAAAAATATATAACATCTGTAAACACACCATGCATAGAGGCAGCCTTTTTCTCCGTGTCGCTTCTTAAAGTGATCAACATATGTCATCTCTTCGGGGGAGGGGCATCCATAATTCTTCAATAATTTCAAGCTAACTTTGATTGAATAGGAGTAGAGGGAATGATGATTGTATTGAAAGGGCAAAGTTAGGTAAGCTATTTTGTGTATGTACATATGTGCATATATAACGAGAGAGATGGGAAGGACTACAAGGGCATGTGCTTATTTTATATAAGTTTTAGAGATAATTATAGTTACGGTTCAAAATCTTTCAACTTGTTGAATCTTTTATTCTAAAATAATGCTATGTAACCTCACTGAATTTGCAACTCCGATCTAGGTGGCGCTAGATGTAGGCTAAATGAAATGTGAAATTAAATAAGTCATTTAGTTTTACTTATCATTTAATGTCACATCAACGCCATCTAAACTGGTGTTACAAGTTCAATGAGACTAAGTGCATGTTTGATTCTCATTTTTGGGATAAAATGAATTATCGAATAATAGTTTTTTGAATAATGTGTGGTTAAAAAGTAAGATTTTTTTTTAAATTCGTGTATAATTATTTTATAGAAGGATGTGTGATTGAAAATGAGTTTTAAAAAAATACATTCTTGAAAAAATGGGAATCAAACAAGGGTTAAATAACATTACTTTTTATTCTAACCTTTCATTTACTGTAATCATGGTTTCCAACCTTTTATTTTCATGCAGCCAAGGACATCCAGATGATTTCCATCTAGAGATCCATTAGCTGACCAGAAAAATTACTTTGACCATATTTTGAACAATTTTATAATGAAATAAAAATTAAAAAATAAAAGAGAAAAGAATAAAATAGAAGATCGTCTCCTTTCCCCACTTCCACCCCCATCCCTACAAATTTATCATTTTTCCTTTTTAGAATTGTTTAAAATGTGGTTAAAATTATTTCTTTTGGTCAACAAATGGACCTCTCTATATGGAAACCATTCAGAGGCTCTTCCTCTTCATCGAAAGAAAGGTTTAAGACCATTAACTGCAACAGTGAAATGTTAGGATAAAAGCTATAACAAATTGATAGTTAGGGACCACGCCAATGTTATCTCTAAATTTTATTTCTGACACCTATTTACAAGTTAAAAAATAATAATAATAATAAAATAATAAAAAAAAACCTTATTTTGATAGTTGGGCACAGATTAATTTCAAAACAAGAACTTATTTATTTTAAACTTTGATTAACAAAAAATTATTTGATATGAAACTTAGCATGTTAGTCTAAGCTTAAAAAATTCAAACTACTTGAACATGTTATGTATTAATTTTCTTGCTTTTAATAAAAAAAATTAATTACTTAATTTGATAATAAAAAAGGATTTCTTTCATAATAAGTAGTTTCTTTATTTTTAGTTTTGACTAGTAAAAAATTATTTATTTTAAAATAAATGTAGCTTAGCGAAACATGCACCTAAGCCCAACGATGTCTTTGTCTTTGGTCTCTTATTATGTTTACAGAGATTATATTTTCATTATTGATAATTTTCAACTGATAAGAACAGAACAATCCATGATCCCTGATCCATATAAAATATGACAAATGAGGACATGGTAGATACGATTTAATGACTGCAAGCAAATTATTGAGACCAAAAATATACTAGAGGATTTCGTTGCTCAATGACAACTTTATTCAAATTAGTGCAATACTATTGTACATGTGGCTCATATAGAGTGGAACACAGGCCCTGAATCAAATGGGTACTCCACTCCGCTCCGCGCGCGGCATCGGCCTTGTGCGGGTTTAATTTACTGTCTGGTTGTTAGGAACGCTAAATGGGTTGGGGATGCGGGGGCAACGCCCTCGCGGTACGGTACATGGGTATTTTCTGTACGGGTCTTAAAGTTTTATATGGGCCCAGATTGGGGTTAGTATAAATAATATGTTGTAACCCTATTTTTCCTTTAATACAAAAAGAGATTAATAGTGAAGAAGAGATATAAACAAAGTGAGAGGCAGGCCCATCACTATCTACTCTTATTTGTTACCAGACAATTAACCAATTAAAAAAGGATTCCAACTAAAAAAAAGAAGGAAAAAAAAAAAATCTTCTTCTACAACCATGATAAGGAAATTTCTAGATCTCGCACATCTACTTAAATTGTAGGGCTTTCTCAATAGAGTCCAAAAACGGAGCATACCATAGGCACCATATGCGGAGAGAATTAGCCTTTTTTAGTTTAACATATGTGGCACATGTGATTAGTAACCTCGGCAAACAAAGAGAAGTCTAGAAACTATCCATGCATGGACGAGGACGAGTAGTCCAACTGATTTCTAAAAAATCTAAAGCCCTCCTATATATTGATGACCAACAGCCCAACTTCATACCTGATTTGCACCAGCAGTCACCATCACTGAGGATCTGTGTAAATTATTTTCTTGCTGTAACTGCAACAAGAAATTGAAATGATTGATTTAGAAGTGGGGAAAATTGGCTAGACGTGGTTTTATACAGATTTTAATTCTACTCAAAGGTCCTAACTTATATCAAAAACCAGAAAATTGAACCAGTAAACTCTTTTCAATGATTATCTTTTGGACATAATCCATCACAAGTCTGTTTACTCCTCCATCAGGTGATAATAACATTAATCACTTAGCAGAGTCACAATCTGTGTTATAGCCACATAATGAACTTTAGCTAAACAAATAAAATCGTAGTTTCACCTTTTTTAGTAATGCTTCTCTGAGCTCAGGAACACCTTCATCAGCACCATAACGACTGATCACAGGCTCCCATACAAGTTTTTGCACCTTCTCTAGAGCCTGCTTGGGTGGTTGCCAGTACACTACCCCCTGTGAAGCAGCATGATAAAGTATTGTAATTGCAAAAAATAGCCAAAGTAGACATGTAAACAAATCTCTAGTAATGTGAGTTAAGGGATGCACGAAAGGAAAAGTAAAATATGAACTCCCAAAATTATTTTGTTCAGTTCTTTGCAGGAAGAAAAATAAGATAAGTCGCTTTCATAATCACAATACAAATTTGAAAAAGTAACATATTTTAAACTCTGACAGCAAAAACAATTTCACTTCCAATACTAGCTGAAGTGCTTAACTGTAGTCACTCAGTGCAACTTATAGCATGTTTTATACAGATTTTTTGACAATAGATTTTGTTAAAAGTGAATTTTTTTTATTATTATTTTTTTTCCTAATAAAGAATGTGATGGCAAAAAGTCGTTAAAAATTATGGGTCCATTTGTAAAATTATTTTACTGGGAGAATGAGAAATTAAAAATGAGCTTGAAAAAAATTAGTTGTAAAGAATGTGTACCACACAAGGGCTTTGTTAAGCCAAGAAATTATCAGTAATCTATAAAATAATTGTATCCGGACAGCAACCAAATTAGAGGTTTGATCTTTTAAAGTACACCCTTGTTGCAAAATAAAACCAATTTAACCGAATCACAGAGATAATCAGTTATGACAGCGAGGAACATATGAAATTCATTATTAAGTGCAAAAGTTTACTGGATCCATCATCTAATTCATTCTAAAGTGCAAAAGTTCAAAAAGCACTTTTACCAGAAAAATGTTTAGCAATTAAGAAGATCACAAAAATTTACTTTTTCCAAAAATTTGTTCAAACCCAAAAGAAGGACAATAAGAAAAGCGTTCACACTTCTCAATTTCTCGAACTCCATAATAAGAACATGACCAATAACATGCATACTTCAGAAATTTTAAGACAAAAAATTAACAATTTACATTGGGAAATGTAAACAAACCTGAGCCAGAGAAACGCTATCTTTCACACCTCGGATCAGCTCTTGTATCTGCAAATTTCAAGAAAAAATGCACAGATTTCACCACTATTAAATATAATTCCTTTCACTAAATAAATAGATTAGTAAAATTAGACCAAAAGCAAATAAAATTAACAAGAAAAGGGAACCCATTTCAAGAAATGATGGAAAATTAACTACCTGAACCATAACAGGGGTATCAGTAAGCAAAGCCCTTTTTGCAAGCTTTCCATCAGAACCCATTTTCCTCCTAACTCCTCGGGCGTTTTTAGTCGGGTGTCCGCAAATTTCTTGTTCAACGTTTTATATAGTTGAACAAGCTAAACAATTCTGTCTTTTTCTCACCTACCCTCCAAAAATTTAGGCTTCTCCCCTAGAAGCTCATAAAGCTCAACTTTAATTATGAATTTAGATATATGTTGCTGAAAAAGGTGATAATAAAAAATAATAAACCCAATCAGCTTGCGAGAACAATGACAAAAGCCAAAAAGATCAAGCACTTTTTCAAATTTTCCACCTTTAAAAAAAATTAAAAAAAATGAAACCATAAATACAAGAGAAGTTTTGTAAGGTAAACTATTACAGAGAATAGTTTTCCCATATTCTTAAAAAAAGGCAAAAAGATTCTCCCATGATTTATGGTAATTGATTGATATTCTATAACTGGCAGGTCAGAGTTGACTGGAGGAAAAATATATATATATATAGTTAAGGTTCTTCGACAAAATTTTGCATAAAATTTTGATAAAAATTAATAAAATATTTAATTAAAAAGTTGATAAAAATTATTGTTATAAAATATACAAATAAAATTAGTTATTAATTTTAACCTTTAACTTTTTAAAAAGCTTTTTGAAGTTAATTTTTGAAAGAGAGCAATAAAGCTAGAGACAAGAATTTGTTTGGGCCTATAAAGACCTACCACTACCAGAGAATTTTGGCTGGCTGATCAGTTAGCCAATTAGTTTTCTCAAATTGAAAAGCACTGAAACAAAGATCTTTAGAGTGATATGGTTTTGTCCAAAAATAACTTTATTCTTTTTCTTTGACAATTTCCCCAGATCAAGCAAATGTTGCGAAAAACATTCATGTCGTCCATTTTCATTATCAAACTCTTGTAAAAGTACTTTACAAGACGAATTTATATTTATCTTGAAATAAACAAACAAAAAATAAAGAAAATACCAAAAGTAATATATTAAGGTTTTGTTTAGTACACATTAGTGTAAAATGAAAATGAAAAATATAATCGTACGACCCTACACAAGAGATAGAAAGTAAATATGGTGACTTGATGTGATGTATAATGATTATATTTTTCATTTTAATGGACAAATAATAGGAAACAAACGGGGGCTAAATATCACATTAAGCTAGAATTATTTTTTGGACGATTTTAATAATATATTACTTTTGATTTTTCAATATATAATAAATATTACAAAATTCTTGTCGTGTATGAATTTCGTGTTATTAATTCTCAATTAATTCAATGACTTTTAATTTGATGAATCTTTATCTACATGAATCTATAGTTATTATAGATGAATTTATTTTCATTCATGTATTTAGGAATTTTAATAGATATTTAAATTCTACATGAATATACAGTTATTATAAATGAATTTATTTCCATTCATGAATTTAGGAATTTTAATGGGTATTTAAATTCATGTATTAACAATTAATTCTTATGTATAAAAGGTGGGTTATTTGTAGTATTTCATCATCACAAAAAAATTCGAATCATAGAAGTTGAGTTTTGATATTACAATTTTCTTCTCTTAAATTATCCTAAATTTTATTTTCTTTAATTCGTTTGAAACTCGTCAAATTTTTTCAACAAATTAACATCAAATATTATTTTTACAGCATTCATAAAGTACTTCAAAATGCACGTTCGACTCTGATTAGTAATCTAAGAAGTTTCAAAAAGTAAAAGTCCCAAATAAAACAATTACAAAAATAAAATATATTTCTTCTCCAACCAACTCTACACACTCTCCATCCAACTCACGACCACCACCACCACTATACTTCCACTACCAAACGTTAAAGATTAACCACCGACACTCAAATAGTTATTCATATGGAATCTCTCAACGAGTTTCCAATGTTTTGTTTTATAACAAAGTATCACAAATAAGAAATGCCACAAGTGATAGTCTATCCGTAATAACGATATCTGTATCTCGTTATTTCTTACAACCACAGAGAATTTAAGATTCAATCATATATAATTTGCATATCACAACCACAACTCCTTGTGATTAACAAATTACTAAGATTTGAATTTACAAACTCTATTATTTAATTTAATTGAATATTAATTAAATAATAAAATTGCCATAAAATTGCATCAACTATATATTTCAATGCCTTATATCCAAAGTTGATTGAACCTAGGGTATAACACATACAAATTTCCACTTACACTAGATCCAATCACTTATCTATCTAATATCATAAGAGTCTACATGACGATCATGGTTATACTGCGACAACTCTTTGTTAGTAGATCTACAATATTATTAATTGTGGAAATTCATTCATTTCTTTACGTCATTTCTTTATATTATCTCTCTGATGAGACGACATTACCTTAATATATGTTTGGATCATTGATAAGACTTTGGTTCCTTCGCTTGCGTGATAGCTCTGTTGTTATCATAATATAATGGCATGTGATCAACAATAGTAGAAACTGTTCCACGTTCATTAATGAACATCTTAATCCGCACTGCAGCTCTTTGCTGCTTCTGAAGCAATCATGTATTAGAATTCTGCTGTCGAATCAACGGTTGTTTCATGTTTGAAATATTTCTAACATACCGATTAAGAGTAAACCAATTTCTCCATCTAAAATCTTCACAAGATTTTATTCTATGTAGATCGGGATGAGTTAAGCAATTGTTTAGATGATCTTTATAGATCAAGTTGCTTATCCCATATCTTTTATGAAAAAATCTTTTAACAACCACAACTTCAATTATTGAAATGTAGGGATGTTATTTCCTATTAATAATATGTCTTCTACATGTAATCTTAGGAATGCGATAATACTTCCATCATTTTCTTGTAAACACAGAATTCGTCTTCATTTTTTTATAAAATTAAACCTTTTGATTTTTTTCATCAAATCAAAGATTTCAACTCCAAGAAGCTTAGTTCAATCCATAAAAGAATTGATCAAATTTACATACTTTATAAGCATATTTGGAATTAAAACTTTTGAGTCGTTTCATGTACATTTTCTCTTTCTAGTTCCTATTAACGAATATAATTTTGACATCCTTTTGTCATATCTCATAGTCATGGCATGCAACAATTGCAAGCAAAATTTGAACAAACTTAAGCATTGCTATATGTGAAAAAGTTTCATCAAAATCAATACTTTATCTTTATTTGTAACCTTTTATTACTAGCATTGCCTTGTATGCATAGACATTCTCATCCATGTCAGCCTTTTATTTTAAACCATTTGCAATCTATAAGTCTTATTCCATCACGGGAGTTGACCAAGGTCTAAACTTTGTTCGTATACATCGAGTTTATCGCAAGTTCTATGGCTTCTTGCTATCTCTTTAAGTCAACACTTTATTTTTGTACAATTAGTAGGTACATCATTCTCGATTAGCCATGCCTGATTAGTAATCATCGATTCGCACTGATGTGATTCGAGATGCGCCACAAACTACTGGAGAATTAATAATTGTTGGCGAGAGGCTAAAGAAAAATTTGGGCTTAGTTAAGGACATTAGAGTTGCCAAGATGTTTGTTCAAAGTTTGGAATTCAAAATGTGGGAATTAACGTGCAATGTAACAAGTTCCATGATTGGCGGGAAGAGACTAAGTGCAAAGTCGGGTTTGATCACAGCCAATAAAATTATGCAATCAAGAATCGAGCTTACCAGGCTATAAAGGATGATGTTTGCAAGCTTAAGGTCGAGTTACATGTTAGTCATAAAGGCGAAATCATGTTCGGTACATTGGATTCAAGGTTTTAGACGATATATGGCAAAACGAGCAGTGTGGATTAAAATGGGCATAACTTTTAGTTCGGGTGTCGAATTTTCGCCCATGAGTATAATTTAAAATTGTCACAAAAATTCTACACAAGAAGGAGGAGGTTTTTTTTGAAATCATGCGAGCGCATATCTTAAAAGCCATGCGACTGCATACGCTATTTCCGAGACAATTGAGGCTAACTATTTGTTCTATGCGACTGCATTGATTTATACTATGCAATCACATAGTACAACTTCTGGATGCGATTTTTCAAAATTTGGGAGGTGTTTTATTTATAGTATAATTCTATTTATTTGACATCTTTGTAATCTTTTAGAGTATATTTCGTCCTTAATTAATTTTTCTAGATTTTTCATATAAATAGGAGTTATTATTTCAATTGTAATAAGACTTTTCATATGAATAAAAATTGAGGTTTTTCTCTCGAAGCTTTGCTTCAATTTTCCTTGTTCTTCAATAGAAAAAATTATCGAACTTATCAAGGGATTAATTTCCTTGTAGCATTGAAAACCAATGGTACGAATTACAACACGTATAATCAAGGGGTTTTACAATCTTTGTTATTGTACGATTTTTTAGTTCATTGTTTTGGAATTCAAATCAACCATCCGGGTGAGATTTTAAGGCTTTGTGATCAACAGGCTGTGAGTTTCATATACCTTTGGTTGTTTGATTCATCGTTTAAAAGTTAAATCCTAAACTTTGATCGTATTTGGGCGCTCTTGGGATCTAGTGTTAATATCCTATGGGTTCGATAGCAACTTTGCTAACTGAGTTCGCATCATTTGGTATCAGAGCCACATCTCCAATATCAAGGTTATTTACATTTTTTTTAATTTTATTGAGTCTTTTGTTTTTCTTTTTGTGTTCTTGTAATTTTTCAATTTTGTTTGAGACGTTGATTCGTTTAAATCCCGTTAAATTTTCAAAAGTTGTCTTTGGACTAATTTAGTATCCAAAACAGCTTCTGTTTGTTTTGTCGGCTTTGTAATCGAATTTCCTATCTAGTGAGTCAAAAAAAAAGTTGAAAGAAAAAGTCAGAACACATTTAAAATTGAAAATAAAATAAAATTGAAAGTACATTTAAAATTAGCACATTTCCATTTTCCAGTTTTTACACAATCTTACCATTTCCATTAATTTTGAAAGAAAAGTCATTTTCCATGATTACTTGTCCCCTATTTGTTTGATAGAAATCAGTGACGTATTCCTTATAGGGTGATATGTGGAAAGTACACTCAGAATCAAGAATCGGGATTTACAAGTCACATAGACCTGTCCATTTGAGGCTGCAACTTCTTCATAAATTATAGCAGCTCCACCTTCAACCTTATTGTTATTTTTCAATTCCTCAATTCTTTTTATACGGTCTTTGATATAGTGACCCACTTTACTACAAAAGTAGCATTTCCAAAATTTGGCCTTGCTGTTATACTTATTGAATTTTTATTTGCCCTTTTGAAAAGTTCCAGAAAAATCTTTTGGTTTTCCAGAATTTTTTATT